ATCTCAGGAGTAAACCTGTCAGGGCTTGTTGCTCTCCCTCGCTTCAGATTTCCCTTAACTTTTTCAACTTCGCAAAGAGTCGGAGTACCTGCATTAACTTGCCATTCAGGTTGACTGGAGTTCGTGGGAAACCGAAGTGTGGCTGAAGGCCAGTTGAACTGATACCTAAAGTTTTCTGCCCATCGATCCAATCTCCTGGATTGAAAATGTATAATATGTCCATGTTTCTCTGAGAGTGAATCGCTAACAGTCAGTTTCCTAATACCTAATTCCTTAACAAATCTGAACAATTGTCTGCCATTACTTATTGCCGCTGCCTTTTCCATCTCCCCTGCTTTCTCTACCCACCACTGTTCACGATCGTTGCGTAGACTTCTTGTCAGCTTGCGCTTAAACTGACTCCGCTCGTCATTATGTTCAGAGCCAGGTGGAATGAGTTTCTGAGCATCTATCAGTGCGATAGATGCTACTGAGATCCAGTGTTGCTCCCTAACCTTCTGGTTTACCTTAATAGCAGATATCACTGCTGTTTCCACAGCTTTTCAGATATCATTCCATGCTGCCTCGGGGTAGGCATCACATACATGGCTGCCTAACTGTTTTCCTAGTTGTTCCTGAAACATACTCTTAGCTTGACTATCATTAAGCAGGACCCTAAGAGGTTTTCTTGCAGCGTCTTTCCTACGTCCAGTAAGACGCAGGCAAATACGCACTCGCACTAGAGCATGATCTGAGTCTAAGCATGTGCTCCAGAATGAGCGACAGTTTTCTATCGAGCCCCTCCATCGGTGGCTGATAGCGATGTGATTTAGTTCGGTCCAACGTTGGGACGAATTAGGGGGTCGCCATGTTAAAAGATGTTTTTCCTTATGCTTAAAGTTAGTATTTGCAAGGAACAGGCGGTTATCTGAGCATAGCTGCAACAGACGGTCGCCATTATCTGTTCTTTGGGCCACGACACCATAAGATCCCCCTAGGTGTCTTTCCCTATCGCTTAGTTTACCTACTTGAGCATTAAAGTCACCGGCCACTATTACTACATCCGAGCGCTTAGCTTTTCGGAGAAGGTCCGAAAGCTTTCTGTAAAACTCATCTTTTACATCATCTGAGCTGCAGTCAGTGGGAGAATAGGCAGAGACGACGAAGAGGCAACGACGAGTGTCCCTATCTTTCCGGATTTTTACTGTTCCGTTCAGTCGGACAGCGCACAAACGACAGTCTACTGAGATCCAGTCGAAGAGAGCTAGTTCTGCCCTAGGATTCAATGCTATACCTACGCCGGCGCTGCCACGGGAAGCAGAATCAGGGCTTCCAGATACACGAAGTGTGAATCGAGTCGGTTCTTTATTTTGGCATGCTGAGGTCAAGTGAATGACGCTACTTGGATCCTGTATGCGCGTTTCGGAGACGCAGCACACATCGATGGCGCGGGATTCTAAAGTCTTAGCTAAGGAAGCCTGCTGTCCTATTTGGCACAGTGTTCGGATGTTAAAAGCTCCTACGTGTAGTTTAGAGCGTGGTTTCAGGAGACCGGGAATAACGTTCCGCGTACTCGAATCGTTTGCCATAGCGGTGCGAGGTGATAAACGGACGTGAGAAGGGTTAGTCATGGAGATATGAAAGGTATTAGGAGGTGTAGAAAGGATTCGAATGTGACCAACTTGGTCTCGTGTGCTGTTACGGGTATGAGGGCTGATATCCCTTCCCGGCTGCCCACACCGTGGAAGGGTATTTCTTGAGGAACCTGAAAAGGAAATTGGATTAGTGTTGGTCTTAACAACCTGGGAGCGTGACCGCAGAGCCGTTCTCCAATCGACCTGTCTGGCATGGTAGAACCTACAGGAACATATGTTCCAGCTAATATAGCTCGGTTGGGTCATCACGGTAGGCAAGCCTGACCACCGCGTCAAGGTAGCAGCTTCGGTCGGGTCGGTCGGTCGGATCACCTCAAGCTTTGATCTAGAGGTCTAATCTACAAGGCAGTGAAGCAACGTTAGGCACTGCAGTCCCATGGTATCCGGTTATCACCAGTTGGTTCATACGTCATTTTTTCGCTCAGAATCCTGGAACCCATGTGACCATTGGTTTGAAATCAGGGTTTTCAAACTCCACAAGTAGATTCACCTAATCCACCGACCCGGTTAAATCGACGAACGTTCACTCTTCGTTCTCTCATTTTTGTAAACAACAGTAATGCCGCGAGAAGGCATTGAGTAGGACTTCCCTGGTAGTGGTTGTATACGCAAGGCTATTTGGGAGAATTTCGAGAGGGAGAGTAACTCTCCCCACTCTTGGTCGTACCAGGGAATTCGAGGATTGGATCATCATGTGTTTGACTCAATTGTCAATAGTACGAAAAACTGAATAATCTGCACTCCAAAAATTGATTTGTTCAAGAAAACACAGTATTGTATAGTTCGTGTTCTCTTGATCGATGGTGTAATTGTGTGCCAGTGGAATAATTTTGATAATACTAGTTATCCAGACTAATAACTTATTTAACGGAGTTGGCTGTATGGTGGCCAAACCTAAGGATTAAATCAGAATAATCAAACAACAATAGTGGCTATCGTTCTTCGTTTCGCCTTCTAAATTCCCGACGATTTACACACAATTGGTTATTTACTGACTAGATACCAGATCTAGAGATTAAATGATGTCGTTGACGATTGAACCTGAGTTAAGAGAATGAAAGGGTATAGATTTATTTTGCTGTCATTAACAAAAATTTAGTATGAGTGAAATAGACTGATTTCACAGATTTATTTTTCACCGATAAGTAGTCAGAACTGATTGACGTTTGGTTGAATATAGCTCTTTGCTGATTAATTAACCGAGTAACCTTATGAAGATTACGAAGCATGTTTAATCCCTCTCCTAACACAGTGCATTGTCAGTTTAGGGGTTGTGGAGATTGTTAAGTTTTTGATTGAGATCATGAACCGATTGATGTTAGACCACCATTGAAAATTTGAAAGCACTGGACGGCCGTTTCGTCCTTTTGTGGGACTTCTCCACAGAGCGCATCCACGACCCGGACTCGCGGGGTTCGAATCCATTGCCTTCAGTCTCGCGCTCGAACGCTTAACCTCTAAACCACTGATTGGGCATCCAATAGTGTTAATGTCTAACCTCAACCAATCCATTAGACATTAACACCCCTGGATGCCGGCTCGGTGGTCCACTAGGTTAAGCGTTCGCGCGCGAGACCGAGGGCCGTGGGTTCGAATACCGCGAGTGGGATCGTGGAAGCACATTGCTGAGGAGTCTCACAATAGGATGGAACGGCCATTCATTTCATCCAGGTTTTCAACGGTGGTCTAATATCAATCGGTTCATGATCTCAATCAAGTAACCAATCCACTGTGTAGGTTTAGAATTCTGAAGTAGTTTTCTTTTCTTATTCTGTGAAACTTCTTATATAAATTTATTATTGGAATAGGTTTCTAATAACTCTTTGGAAAATGAGTCACAGGATACATATAGAATTACATTCACTTGGTATTGCTTACTTGAATCTTCCCATTGTTGTTTGGGACTGCAATTGATCAATCTCTTATTGGTATATGTGCATCCTGTGAGGATTGCCTCAATATTGCCTTAATTCACAAGCATTAAAAGTAAAGATGGATGAAGTCAGTAGGTAAAAGGATAACACGATGGTGTTTGAACCGAATGGTACTAATTTCGAGTCTCAGAGTGAACATCATCTCTGCGATGCAGGTATATCCAGTTGAAGTGTCCCAAAAAGGACGAAATGAGCGTCCTGGATTCCGCTGCTAGCTAATCTGTCGCTTTATGAATTTTTTCATTTCTTTTCTGGTTACATCTAATAACAAGTCAGAAGTCAAAATTGCAATTCAGTTCACGTTGTCAATCAATAGATCCATTCGCCTAAACTACAGTATCCCCGGAATCTGTGATTTTACTGGTTAAAGTCTAAATATTTTGTCATTTCATTGCAACTACTTGTAAGTACATAAAGTGATTTTACAACATTTACTCGAAGATATTTTACGACCCTCATAATGATGAAAACAAATGAAGAAGCTGTTCGATTATTTCCATTTCGGTGATTGTAAATCTTGTTTACATAGACCATGTGCTTCACATAAGCTTTTCTCTAAGTGAAGTTTTGTTCTCTGAGCTGAATGTTTTGGTCATGGGGCTTTCATTTTTCTCCTTCGATGTAAAAAATTCCTTTGTGTTGCTTTTGCACCGATTAGTTATCACGTGACGAAATCGTCTATCAGAATATCGATTTGTTTGAATTTCCTTCTGTTGTAAACCAATTACACGTCAACCAGCACTAGAAACTTTGCATCAACTATGAATCCTTATTGATTTTTAAAATGGTAGCTTCTTGCTTAAGCGTACCCGTTGAGTCCAGAGCATAATCTCAGCTTTCAATTTACGAATAATATATTTCAGACATAGGTAGTTTATATACAAGCAAACCACCCCGCAGCAAATCATAAAAACAAAAGTAATAATTATACAAGATCAAGCTAAAAGTGCCTGCGAATGTGAGAGACTGTAACTAATAGTTTGGGAATAACATGAGAATAGTGAATCTCATAACAGTAGTCCATGGGTCAAATGAAAGCTTTTGGTAAGAAAAATGTGAATTTATGTAATAATCTAGCAATTTAACAATCATGCAATTAGAATATATATGTAATAACAGTCTATAAATAGTTTCCGAAAGTCACACCCTGGTTTCTTTAGTATTTCCCAATTCCAAGTTTACACTATTTCTCAACTGCAATATCAGTGATATCATTTTCACATCCTTTTTCAGTTGTCATTTACATCCTTCATGATTCTTTCAATTCTGTTATCTTTTCGATTTCTTTCTGTTCTCTTCATTTCAACTTCTCAATTTTCTGTTTTCTGTTCATTCCACATTTGATTGGTGTTATATACTACTTATATCTGTTAACATAAGTGGAATACACCGCACAAAAACAACAACGACAAATACTACTACTAAGACTACTATGACTACTACTACTACTACTACTACTACTACTACTACTACTACTACTACTACTACTACTACTACTACTACTACTACTACTACTACTACTACTACTACTACTACTACTACTACTACTACTACTACTACTACTACTACTACTACTACTACTACTACTACTACTACTACTACTACTACTACTACTACTACTACTACTACTACTACTACTACTACTACTACTACTACTACTACTACTACTACTACTACTACTACTACTACTACTACTACTACTACTACTACTACTACTACTACTACTACTACTACTACTACTACTACTACTACTACTACTACTACTACTACTACTACTACTACTACTACTACTACTACTACTACTACTACTACTACTACTACTACTACTACTACTACTACTACTACTACTACTACTACTACTACTACTACTACTACTACTACTACTACTACTACTACTACTACTACTACTACTACTACTACTACTACTACTACTACTACTACTACTACTACTACTACTACTACTACTACTACTACTACTACTACTACTACTACTACTACTACTACTACTACTACTACTACTACTACTACTACTACTACTACTACTACTACTACTACTACTACTACTACTACTACTACTACTACTACTACTACTACTACTACTACTACTACTACTACTACTACTACTACTACTACTACTACTACTACTACTACTACTACTACTACTACTACTACTACTACTACTACTACTACTACTAGTACTCGGTCAGTTGGTTTACGATACAACGAGTTTAACTCTTACTCATCATGTGTTTAGTGTTATTTCGTAATTGATTCTTTAGTTGATATCAGTATCTTTTTTCGGGAGGGGGGGTATATCATTTATGCTTCATACAAACTAATGTGATTTATGACATGATGTTATTCAATATGACCTTAATTGTAATTAGATCAAGTTATGACCTATAGATTTAAACAATCAAAATGTTATTGGAGATTTGTATATTTGACATTTAGTGATGATCACTAGTTAAAATGAATTTGAGTAATCCAAATGATTAAAAGGGTAGATTAAATAGATATTCATTGGGAGACTTGTACAAACAATCTCTTTTTCGTATGGTACTAGAAGAAGAAATAAATTGTGTGGTGTATTTAATTAACGGTTCTTTAGAATATATTCGATTGTATTATCTTCAAACTAATACTCACTAATGGATACTCAACATCCATTGACCGGATAACATCAGCAGAAGCCTTTTGTGGGAGAGAACAAACTAGCTTCCAGCTGAAGAGCAAATTAGGAAAACACGATGGAAATGGATAGGACATACATTACGCAAATCATCAAACTGCATCACAAGGCAAGCCCCGACATGGAATCCTGAAGGGAAGCGGAAAAGAGGAAGGCCAAAGAACACATTACGTTGGGAAATGGAAGCAGATATGAAAAGAATGAATAGGAACTGTAAGTAGCTGGAAAGGATTGCCCAGGACAGGGTTGGATTGAGAATGCTGGTGAACAGCCTATGGTCCTTCACGAGGAGTAACAGGAGTAAGTAAGTAAGTAAGCAATTATCTTCAAACTATCTTAACATATAAAATAATCAGTCTTTTTATATTTTACTAATAAAATCTAAATGTAGAACTGATATTAACAGTATAATGTGAAATATTTTATGTAGGTTAATCACAATTCTCGGTCCTGGATTGGAGTTCCGAGTGCGGGATTGTGGATGCTCACGACTGAGGAATCCCATACTAAGACTGATATGACGGAAAGAAAAGTCAATTATCGATTGATTTACTCATTATGAGTTTTGTTCAACATGACTTCCCTTCTAATTCAATATGATGATCATTCAGTGTAATATATGATTGTTTTCTCAGTATGATGTTTTCTTCTGTATAATATACGATATTCTTGTATTCCATTGACACAAACTATGCTCAGTCTGTGATTTGTTATAACTGAGTATGTGATTTCATCCTAATTATTAATCAAAATGAGTGTACAATCAATATATAGACCAGTGCATTTTAGACGAGATTCGATTCGTCGTCGTTATAGTGTTTGGGGGTCTAATAAATCTTCACTTATACCAGTTTTGTGTTCTTACCTTTGCATCGTGGGAATTGCAGAGGTTCCTCGTTACGAGTATATATGATCAGCGTTTTCTGGCACAGCAATCAGCGACGACCAAATATAACAAAGACAAAACATCTATCCAGTGCTTCTAGCTTTTTGATGGTGGTCTAATAATAATCCATTCATGATATCAATCTAAACAATCAGATCTCAGTACTCACTAGCTAAATGCTTTATTTTTGTAATTCTAATTTAGAAATGTAAATTTCTTGTTTTCGCGCCAAAAGCACCCATTTTCACTTTAATGTCATATTTCCCATTTATGAGGACGTTAAATGCTGTTGTTTCATAGTCTCTTTTAGTATTCTATTTTTTTATCGTTTCCCAAGAACATATTTATACTGTATATATACGCTTGCGTTATGTTTATTGTTATTGTTCATGCTTCTAACTGCTTGTGGAATATAATTCTCTCTTCTGAACTTCGACTGATCTCTTTTGTTAGCTGAGTTGGAACGCATTGGAATAGCTAACTTATTGGTCATTATGTCACATAATCTGCATTCAGTTCTCAGATTAGATGAATTCAACATAGCACAACCTATAATGATTACTACTAGATAAAATATTCGATGAGACTGTAATTTATGGACGACCTTTGAACGACACTAGACTGACCTTAAGAATGTCCACCTAATAACTAGGACCAAATGATGAATTCAAATTATGATTTACAGTTGATGGTTAACGTTAGGAATTACAATTAGGGTTTTCATCATGAACTGATATCAGCTATAATGCTATTTAGTCAAATGTATGGGTGAACTTCGAGCCAAAATCCGAGGTCTGTTATTTTATAGTTGATTGGTTCATTCATAAATGATAGTCCCGTCAAATCTTCTTATCATCACAGTATCCATCGGTTTCATAATCATCATGTGATCGATAAACAGACAATTATGTAATTTTAAATTTTTTTTTAAAAAAAAACAACTGCACATTTCATTATTGTTGTCATCTGTATGAACAAAATCACATGTTGGATAATTTATTTTTATATTCGGTAGTAACATAAAAATAATTTCAAAGTTTATTACTAACAGATAAAATTCACTTGATATTGTTTTTTTTTCTTGTATCATCTTATTGTTGTTAAGGTATGCAATCGATCAGTTTCTTGTTGCCATGTGTGCATCCTGTGTGGATTGCCTCGATATAACATTAAGTTACAAGTATTTTAAACAAAGATGGATGGTTGTGGTTAACAATGGAATCGTCCTATTTTGGACTCGTCAGATTGATGTACCTTCATTCCAGAGTTGGGTTCGAGTTCCGGAGTGAACATCAAATTTGGGATGTAAGCACATCCTACTGGCGAGTCCCAAATAGGATGAAATGTATGTCCTGGATTCCAGTGTTAGCCGCTACCCATTTTTGCTTAACAGATAAAATGATAATGAAATATTTCTCCAAAATAAGATAAAGCATATGCATTTACACATTTATTTGTAACTATGAATGTGTTTTTTTGCTAGATTTATTGATATGTAATTATGTCTGTAGATTCTAACGTATCCTAGAATCCCTCGTAGATTGCTGTCTATACTAAGTTCGTACAAACAGGAAGAGTTGAGCTTAGGGTTAGTAAACCTACTTCGTAAATAAAAACCCTCAGTAATAAAGGTTAATCAGAATGAACTAATCAGTCCATTTGAACTCTTTCAAAGGATTCAAAGGATTTCATACAGAAGATTTATGAGATCTCATGGTAAACGCTTAGATACTTCAAAAGCCATGAAGCTAAAGATTCTTCTGAAAACTAGAGTAATAATAAACATAGGGAAATGTGATGTACGAGCTTTATGAGATACTAAACGTGACATCAAACCTTGAAGTCTCTAACTTCTAGTCTTAGCCATCTTGGTAGATACATACTACTCGGTTTGGGTCCGCGTGACTATCGTAACCAATGGTTGGAGACTATGAGTGATATGGCTCAGAACCGATTACAATGGCCTAGGCGTATACACTCGGTTTTCCCTTAAAATCGCCTTATATCTTTCTTCCTACCAACTAATTTATTCTCCCTGTACTATATGCTTATACACAACCTTTCTTTTATATATTACTACCATTGAATTAACCACTTCTATGAATTTGCTGTTCATCTTGTTGTGCTAATGTGATGTAGCAACTTAGACCGATGTATATATGTGCCTGGTCCTACGTTGTACCTGACTGATTGACTGAATATGAGAGACAAGAAGGGTTGTTAAAATCGCGGTGGATATGAAGAGATACTAATTTACTCTGCCTGGAATGAGTGAAACACATCAGACACAATCCGGACAGAAAAAAACTAACTTCATGAAAAAATGTTGTTGTATTCTGGTCGCGGAGGAGAAAATTCCACCTTAACACGAGGAATCGCACTGGTACTTCTCAAAGACCCACAAAAAGTGCTTATGCGATGGGACACTGAGGGTCACATGATCATTAAAGGATCCTTCAAAACCAAGAAGAAAGCAATACACGAAACGTTATCCAGTTCGATGCACCCACCAATTGTAGCAGCTAAGATGATAAAGACGCGTTTGATGAGAGGCTCAGGCATCACACTAATGTCATTACCAAGCAAACTTCAACGGAATGCTGCTGAACCTAATGAAATATTTGTAGACCCCTAATCTGGAGACCAACAATCTAGCTTTCATAGGGACCAACCATGTACCACGGAAATCGATACACTGCGAATTGTCGTTGGACCATCAAGTGAGTTGAAGGTATCACCATACATCCACTTCTTTGACTATGAGAGAGCACTTAACAGTGCAGAAAAGTAATCCTAGCAGAATCTTTGTCTACAGTATGACGTCTCTAAAAAGTTCGCCATCATAGAAAATCCCTATGAGTGAATGTATTACAGAGTTGTAGGAAGAGGGCAGGTTACATATACACTCCGAGGGAATTTTGGTTATCAAAAAAAAATTTGTACTCTCGGCTTTTCGCTTTTTAATACCTGCTGAATCGATTATAAAGAGCTCTACCGTGAACCCTTTGAATACGTTTGAGAGATTTAATTTTAAAGAAGACCGGCGGGCTAAGTAGTCTAGACGTTAAGCGTTCACGCGCGAGACTGATGGTCTCGGGCTCGAATCCCGCAACCCAGATTGTGGCTTCGTACTGATGTGGAGTCCCGCAATAGCCTAACATCAACCGGTTCATGATCTCAATCAAAAACTGAATAAAACAATCTATAATCAGTTTAGAATTAAATTCTGTCATTTATTCAGTCATTCACTGATAATCTGTCATGTGATTTAAGTTTCTGTGTCAGCTAGCATTGGAAACCTACACGCACTGGAAGAATGTTTCGCCCTAGCAGGGGGCGACTCAACAGTGCACATCCATTATCCCACACATGAGAATCCAATCAAGAACCTTCGATCTCGTTCATGAACACTGGACCTGTAGGCCACTGAGTCGGCATTTAATGATGTTAATCTCTAACTTCAATCGATCCATGATCTCGTGCAACCCTTCATCCATAGTTTAAGGTAACTAAATGTCTCACACCCAACAGATTGAACTTCACTAGTCACGATTTTTCACTAGAATTTCAGAAAATCCATCTTGAACCTAGTCACTAGTGACAACATCATGATTATCAGAATGG